AAGCCTCTATCTGATTTGTTTATTTGTCTTCTGACAGTCCTTTTCAAGGCAAAGCAAGGCAAGTTTATTTGTATAGCACAATTCAACAACAAGGTGATTCAAAGTGCTTTACAGAGACATTAGAAACAAAAACAAATAAAAAGCATGATTTAAAATTGATTAAAACAAGCAAACAAACTAACAAACAAAACTATATAAAATCAAAACAGATCAAATCAGTAGTTAAAATGTAAGTTTTGAAATTTAAGCTTAAGTGTAGATTTGGTGTTTTATTCAAATGCAGCTGAGAACAGGTGAGTCTTCAACCTGGATTTAAATAAACTGAGTGTTTCAGCTGATCTGAGGCTTTCTGGGAGTTTGTTCCAGATATAAGGAGCATAAAAGCTGAATGCAGCTTCTCCGTGTCTGGTTCTGACTCTGGGAACCAAGACCGGATCCAGATGAGCTGAGGGATCTGGAAGGTTCAGATTGGACTACTTTGTTTCTCAGCTCTTTTCCGAGTATGTACGTTTAGCTGCAGTCGATCACCGAACGACTGCACGACCAGCTCCTCGTAAACTCAAGGACTCTGGAAACTGCTCCTATACTGGAGACGCCTCCATTTTTTTCATTAGTAAAACACAAGACAGGTTTCACTTTCACTTGCTGACCTGGAAGATGCCGGGCAGCTTTCTTTCCATTTAGTGTAGAGATTCGAGCGCTTAAGAATACTGTTTTAGTAGCTTCTAGTAACGCATTAAAGATGCAAACGTGGAGGCACGACACAATCAGGAAGTTATTTCATTTGATTAAACTTTACAGAGAAGCTAAAATGACCCTGATGACATCAGTGTGTTTGTTTCGCCCTGAAACTTGATGTATTTGCTCCAAAGCAAAGAAAGATGCTATAAAACAGCAAAAGTAGAAATTATCTTTAAATTAATCTCATAAACCAAACACTAAATGTGGGACACACCTTTAAATAATAAAGTTGGTCGCAGGGTAGTGTTTAATCACAACACTCACTAGAACGTATGATAGCAAGCTGAATGGAAACACAGATAAGGGAGGATCAAAACAAAAACAACGTTACCGTCATGGCGAGAAGTTTCCCATAAGTGAGATGTGCAGGGATGTGGTCTGGCTTGGCTCGCAGCGATTCTCTGTACCAAAACTCCGCCTCAGTCAGCTTATTCAGTCTGATGTAGGCCTCTCCTGTGATGGCAAAGACAGCGTCACGTGAGGGATCAAATCAAGTGTCAGAGGTTAAAACATCACACAGCTGTCTTTTATTCTTTTGAGGATTTTTATTACAGGGCGGCAACAAATTCAGACTATAATCCAGTCGTCAAACTTAATGATTTTCCTTCCAGCACTTTCATCATATTTTAAACACATGGAGTAATAAGAGGCTTTGGAGGATGTTGCAATTGCTTAAACACGTCAGATTCATACTGAAGAAATTATTTATGCTCTTATTTCAGGGTTTTTGCTTGATTATTATATTTCGGCATAGCAGAAATTCACCGTAATGCTTACAGAACAATAGGACAAGATTTCTCCTGTTGTCCTCCTTCACTCTTCCTGACCTGT